CTAATCAGCAGTATGAAATTAACCCTTGGTAGATTTTGAAAAATATTTTGGCCCATAATTACAGTTAGACAAGTGAATATCATGTAGCCCCCCTCATGCTGTATTCTAAAATCAAGTGGCTACTTTCCATTGATTATTCAATGGATTATTTATTATTCCTCAATCATTAACAGTAGAAAAATTAACTGGGGAAAGAAGGAACTATCTCTATGGAGAAGGGAGGCTACTCTGATCTCTTTCTCCTTGACATCTGGTTCAAAAATTTTGGAAGAGATAGCTCTGCCTCAGAATCTAAGACTTCTAAACTTTTTTGTTCCGGCCAAGATGACAGAAGAAAGCAAATTCCTCTTTGGTTTGCCTGTAAGATGAGCAAACAGGAAAAGATACCGATCAGTGTCTGATCCAATGCACAGGGCCAAAGAAGTGTTCTCTCTACAGGCAACAGCTGGGGGCTCTCCTAACTTTTTCTTAAGATTGGGAATGATGGCCAAGAATTAGGTATTTTGTTCCATTATATTAATTGCAGAGCTTTTAAATAAATAAGAACTCTGAGGGAAGAGATATTCTTTTTAAATGTCTTCTAAAAATCTTGCAATAATATTCTATATATATTTTTTTGTGTTTATAATTTCCCAATGGCCATCTCAAAGTTTCTGAAGCTCAAACCCCATTTTTAGGTGTCCCTGGTTGTCCATCCAGCATACTGGAATAATTGTGGCCAGTTGGGTTAATTCTAATTTTTCTTCCAGAGTACAGTGGCAAAAGCAATATTTTAAAATATTTCCACAGCTGTCTAAAAGAGAAAGTATAAACGTTTCATGTTGATAAATACATATTTGCAAATGTCATGACAAGTGTATCAGAAACCAGATCTGAGAAGAGAAAATGAAAAGGCATCAAGACATTTCATATCTTCTTGTTTTACTTCTCCAATAGTAGAAATAGTAGGAAGTAAAAAGCATTATCTTCTTAAAAAGCAGAAATTACCTTTAAGTCAACGTTTTATTCTGCACATGTTGCTAACATTTGGGAACTGATTAGTCATTATACTTAATGGAATTTTGATGTATACAATCAGTGCACCATTAAAACCAGAGGCTGCTTGCCATATTCACCATGCCCTTTTGGTGAACTTGAAAAGGCAATTCTTAAGACACTTTCCTCTCCAATGATTTACAACATCATTAATATGGCCTGGCAAGCTCTGTTTTAGCCTCTGTTCACTTGAAGCTGAATCTGTCTTGCCCCAGGTCTTGATCTGAACAATCTTATTCTATTGCTTTGGATACAAGAAATTATCTGATTCCTCCTTCCTTATCTTGCCACTCTTTTGGCCCAGCACAGAATGATGGAATCAAATTGGAAGGGACAGAAGAATCATCTAGTTTAACTGTCTGCAGGGCTCAGGAAAACCAATTAAATTACACAGAAGGGGTGGCTGTCTAGTCCAGGGGTAGGCAACCCAAAATACTCAAAGAGCCACTTGGACCCGTTTCCCACTGAAAACAAAACACCGGGAGCCGCAAAACCCTTTGGATATCTAAAATGAAGATAAGACTGCATATATCCATATATATATGGATATATGCAGTCTTATCTTCATTTTAGATGTCAAAAGGATCTCTCTCTCTCTCTCTCTCTCCCTCTCCCCCTCCCTCTTTCTGCCCTTGGTCTGCTAGTCTTCTTCCCCCTGTGTGTGTGTGTGTGAGAGAGAGAGAGGGGGGGGCACTTGCACTTCCCCCCTTTCTCTCTTTCCTCTCCCTCTTTCTTCTCTCCCTTTCTTTCCTCTCCCTCCCTTTCTCTTTCCTCTTTCTTCTCCTTTTCTCTTTCCTCTTTCTCCCTCTTTCTATGTACTCTCTCCCCCTTTCCTCTCCCTCTCCCTTTCTTTCCTTTCCTTTCTCCCTTTCTCTCCTCTTTCCTTTCCTTTCTCCCTCTTTCCTCTTTCCTTTCTTTCCTCTCTCTCCCTTTTTTCCTTTCTCCCTCTTTCCCCCTTTCTATTTCTTTCCCCCCTCTCTCTCCCTCCCCTTCTTTCATCTCCCTTTCTTTTCTTTCTCCCTCTTTCCTTTCCTTTCCCTTTCTTTTCTTCTTTCCTCTCTTTCTATTTCTTTCCTCTCCTCCTCTCTCTTTCTTTCATCTCCCTTTCTCTTTCTCCCTTTCTTTCCTTTCCTCTCTCCCCTCCCTTTCTTTCCTCTCCCTTTTTTTCTCTTTCTTCTTTTCCTTTCTCCCTTTCTTTCCTGTCTCCCTCTTTCTATTTCTTTCCTCTCCCTCACCTTCTTTCATCTCCCTTTCTCTTTTCTCTTTCTCCCTTCCTTTCCTCTCTTTCCTCTCTCTCCCCCTCCCCCTCTTTCTCTTTCCTTTCCCTTTTCTTCCTTTCTTTCTTTCCTCTTTCTCCCTCTTTCTATTTCTTTCCTCTCTCCCCCCTATCCCTTTCTTTCATCTCCCTTTCTCTTTTCTCTTCTTTCTTTCCTCTTTCCTTTCTTTCCTCTCTCCCCCTCCCTCTTTCTCTTTCCCCTCCCTTTCCTCTACCTCCCTTTCTCTTTCCTCTTTCTTCTCCCTTTCTCTTTCCTCTCTTTCTCCCTTTTTCCTCTTTCCTCTCCCCCTTTCCTCTCCCTCTCCCTTTCTTTCTTTCCTCTTTCTCCCTTTCTATCCTTTCTTCCTTTCTCTCCTCTTCCCTTTTTCTTTCCTTTCCTCTTTCTCCCTTTCTCTCTTTCCTCTTTCCTTTCCTTTCTCCCTTTCCTCCCTTTCTCCCTCTTTCTATTTCTTTCCCCTCTCTCCCCCTCCCTTTCTTTCATCTCCCTTTCTTTCTTCCTCTTTCTTTCCTTTCTCCCTTTTCTCTTTCTCTTTCCTCTCTCCCCCTCACTTCCTCTTTTCTCTCTCCCCCTCTCCCTTTTTTTTATCTCCCTTTCTCTTTCTCCCTCTTTCTCTTTCTTTCCTTTCTCTCCCCTCTCCCTCTCTCTTTCCTCTCCCTTTCTCTTTCTTCCTCTTTCCTCTTTCTCTTTCTTTCCTCTCTCTCTCTCTCCCTCTCTTTTTCTCTTCACCTCCCCCCCTTTACTAACAGAACCAGTTCACCTACCAAAACGTTTAACTTCCTCCTTTAGAGATGGGCAATGTGGATTCACCACATTCTGACCAAGAGAAATGCCAGCACCTCTCATCAATTCTGCTGCAGGGACAGCAAACGCTGTATGTTAGCAATATCTGGAGAGCTACAGTTCATCCGCACCCTCCTGAAAGGCTGTTCCATCCGTTGCAATCTCACGCTTTGAAAGGCCCCTCCCCCTCCTCCGCTTCAAGCCGACTGCACCCAGCAGGGAGCCTCAGTAGCCGGTGCGGAAGGGATCAGGGGAGGAAAAGAGACAGACCGTCTCCTCGCAGCTCACTTCCAATCCCAAAGTGGTGAATCCTGCTTAGGATTTGGGACTGAGAGGGGGGAAATCCTGGCTCCTAAGCTGCAGGCACTTCCAACCATAGAGCTTGCTCGGCTCTGTTCCCAGCCAGCGCCACACGTGCGCAAAACAACAGCAACAAAATACTGCGATCGAGACTTACCCGCCTGCCTGGCTCCCAGACCTCGGTAGCAAGCCATTTGAAGCAAGCAGCCTCGTTCGCAGAGAGGAGAGGAGAGAGTGAGGGCGGATGAGCTGAGTTTGTGGCAGGGATAACAAGGGTTCGGGAGAAGCTAGCACGAAAGCTTGCCTTGTCCCCCATTGGTTCTTTGCCCGAACAAGTCACCCTCTCTCTTTCTCTCTTTCCTCTGCCCCCCCTCTCCAGATGAGGAGAGAGAGAGAGAGAAAGCAAGGCAGACGGCGCCAAAGGGGCAGGGAGGGGACGGAGGCAGGAGGCGGTAAAAGTCGCTGAAAGGTGCCCGGGACCCCACGGACCAGCCCGGGGAGATGCATGGTGAGCTCGGCTGCCTAGGGAACGGCCTGGGGACGGCCCAGGAAGTGATGCCCCCCTGCTGCAGCCTGCCTGGCCCAGGGAGACATATGGCCGGGTGAGTGGCCCAGGGACGGCACAGGAAGCAATGTCCCCCTGCCACCCAGCCCGGCCTGGGGAGACGCAGCCGCCGCCCCAGCCAGGACTGCCACCTGGCCCGGGCAGACACGTGGCCGGCTCGACGGCCCAGGAAGTGATGTTCCTGCCGCCCCAGCTGGGACTGAAGCCTGGGGGGGCCAGCAGGAGGAAGGAGGGGGAGGGGGAGGGGGGAGGAGGAGGCTCCGGAGCCGCAGGAGATGGCTCAAAGAGCCGCATGCGGCTCCAGAGCCGCGGGTTGCCGACCCGTGGTCTAGTCCCTTCTTACAAACCTCCAGAGATGGCAAACCCATCATCTCTCATGATGTGGGGAAAAAAAACAACCTGCAGCAGTTTCCTACTTTGAGGCACTTGTTATAACATCTTACAAGTTTTGAAATTCCTTAGTAGTAGCTGCTTGGCACCAAATCTGGGCTATGGGGGGGGGAATGATCAAAAACATCCCAACAGAACTGCTTCAAAAGTTCTTGGGTGCATCTAGCAGTGTGAGGGCGAGCATTATTGTGAACCAGCATCACATCAGAAGTCAGCATGCTCCGATGCTTGTTATGGATGGTTCGTCTGTGTTTTCGTAATGTTTCACAGTAGACATTTGAGTTGATGGTTGAACCATGCTCCATGAACTTTACTAGCAGTACTCCTTTGGCATCTTCACATTTGGTGGGATTTTCTATGGCACCACTTCCGGTGTGGTGTTGGTTCACGATAAGGCTCACCTGCACACCATTAGACACACCCAAGAACTTTTGAAGCAGTTCCATTGGGATGTTTTTGATCACACACACCCCATAGCCCAGATTTGGCACCGAGTGACTACTACTAAGGAATTTCAAGCCTTGTTATGACAAGTGCCTCAATCTGAATGGTGATTATGTCAAAAAGTAATATAATGTTGTAGTTTTCTAATGTGTATAATAAAAGTTCTGTATCTGTGAGTGTCTATCATTGATAACCAAACACAGGTTTATTTCTGAATTGCCCTCATATTATAAGGTTATAGTCATAGAATCTTGCAAGTTTGAATGGGTTTCCCTCTTCCCTCTATTTTTTTTCATGACAATAGGGCGGGTCCTGTCTGAAACACTTTCTCAGATTATGAATGTCTACGGAGATTCTCAGTCATCCAGGTCATAGTTGTCCCAAAGATGCCTTTTCACGAGCAACTGGACTTCCTTATTTTTCTTTGAAGACATTTTGCTTCTCATCCAAGAAGCTTCTTTAGCTCTGACTGGATGGTGGGGAATGGAAGGATTTAATATTCCTTGCAGACCGCTGCTCATCTGCATTCTTCTTCTCAGATTACATTTATGCCCTGGACTCAGATTTCTTTTATCTGACCATTATCTTGGTTGTGGCTTCATCTCCTGTTCCTTGAAGTTATTTCTTCTTCTGATTACAACAGGTGAGGAAAGGCTCTTGAAACACTTTCTGCTGAACCAAACAGAACAATTAACAAAAGGTTGTAACACCTGAGTTTAAAGTGGATAATATTTTAATATTTAAAAAAATGAATAAAACACTCAAGAAAAAAGTAGAATTTAAATAATATCCCAGTGTGAAGAATAGGATATGTAAAAAAAATATATGACTGAATGTCAGAATAAAATTCACACAACAAAAGGTAATCACAACTTGCCTTCCAGTCTGTGTGTTCTAATGACATGCCTTTTCTTTCTCCTAAAGAATGCTTATTTGTCCCTGCTGGAAGCAGTTTTATTTCATGTTTGTGTGTTATGTCCCTCCCTCTCTTTTAAATACCTAACCCACTGAACTAACTTTTTTTTGGTTCTAGTTACATTTTAATGGCATAGTTTTCCAATAGCACAAAGAGTTAGTTATATGTTTAGTCTGCACTGAGAATAGAGGACTATACAATATCTGTCCAGTAGACCTTCTTCCCCTTTGCAACATTCCCAAAGAAACACATGGGAACCCTCCCTCCCATCCCCCTCTTTTTTCTTCTTTTTGCTAGCTACTCTCTGGCCCAGATTTCACAGTTCATGATTCAGAGCAGAGCAGCAACAAATGCAGAAAATGCCAAACTAATTATTTCACTTTGTCAGCTTGGTTAAAAACATTATTATTTTGGGAGGAGGCTGTGTTTTCATAAAGAAGGCCTTTGAGAAAACAAAACAATAAAAAAGCCACTCTGTGACCTCCCTCTTTTCTACTGAGGCTCACTCTGCTGAATCATCAAGTACACCGGTGCAGTGACCCTCACCCTTTCAATCCACAAAGCTGCCTTACTTCCCGCTTGATTGAAAGGAAAGAATAAAGAAGACCTTAAAAGTGAAAGACAATACAGTTCATCCATGCCAGCTTGTGCCAAAAGACAATTTGCTGCTTGAATGTAAGATTTTGTAAAAACAAAAAACAAAAGATTCGGGTCCAGTCTCCATTTTTCTGTAGGTATAATCTATAATTCCAGTTACATTCCATAATTCTAGTTGGTAGAGTTTCACCATAGTGAAACAGGGAAAGAAATTATGAATGACAGATGCCTGCTAAGGTGAACTTTGGGGCTTTGATGGATAAGCAGCTATGTAGTTCTCTAGAGCAGTGTTTTTCAACAAATTACTATTCTAATACTCTAAGGAAGTGCTCTTTGTGGAAAGTTTTTATTTAATTTGAAGCTTCCAGACACCCTACAAAAATAGGGCCATGTAGAGAGCATTACAGTAATCCATTCGGAAAGTGGCCATGTCTCTGTGGGTATGTGTATGTGTCTCTCTGTCTTGGTGTCCCATCCTCCCTCTCTACTGTATCTGTTTTCTGTGTGATAGATGTCTCCTGGATTTTATCTGATTTCATTCGGATTTTATTGTGTATGTAGAAAGTTATTCAGCCACTGTCTTCTTCTAGACATCTTGAGTTCTAAAAAGGACTACTCTAAAATGAGGAGGTGTCTATTGGAGCTCACAGCATCCCTCAACCCTATACAATTTCAAACAAATGGTTGTCTAGTCTCTTCTTAAAAATTTCTAGTGTTGGAGCATTCACAGCTTCTGGAGGCAGGTTGTTGCACTGATTAATTGTTCTAATTGTCAGGAAATTTCTCCTTAATTCTAGGTTGCTTCTCTCTTTGGTTAGTTTCCATCTGTTGCTTGTCTTGCCTTCAGGGGCTTTGGAGAATAGCTTGACTCCCTCTTCTTTGTGGCAGCCCCTGAGATATTGGAACACTGCTATCATGTCCCCCCTCGTTCTTCTCTTTGTTAAACTAGACATACACAATTCCAGCAACCGTTCCTTATATGTTTTAGCCTCCAGTCTCCTAATCATTTTTGTTGCTCTTCTCTGTACTCTTTCTAGAGTCTCAACATCTTTTTTACATCGTGGTGACCAAAACTGGATGCAGTATTCCAAGTGTGGCCTTACCAAGGCATTGTAAAGTGTTATTAATACTTCATGTGATCTTGATTTTATCCCTCTGTTAATCAGCCTAGCACTATGTTGGCTTTTTTGGCAGCTGCAACATATTTAAGTGATTGTCAACTAGGACTCTGAGATCCATCTCACAGTTACTACTATTGAACAAGGTACCACTTACACTATACCTGTGCATTTGGTTTTTCTTACCTAAATGTAGAACCTTACTTTTTTCACCCCTGAATTTCATTTTGTTAGATAGTGCCCTATGTTCAAGTCTATCAAGATCCTTCTTTATCTTAAGACTATCTTCTGGAGGGTTGGCTATTCCTGTCAGCTTGGTGTTGTCTTCAAATTTAATGAGCTCCCCATCTATCCCCTCATCAAAATCATTGATGAAGATGTTGAAGAGCACTGGGCGCAGAACAGAGCCCTGGGGCACACCACTACACACTTTCCTCCATGTAGATGCAGTTCCATTGAGGACCATATGCTGAGTATGGTCAGTTAGCCAGCTACGAATCCATCTGGTGGTGATGCTATTTAAGCCACATTTTTCTATCTTATCAAGTAGTAGATTGTGATCTACTTTATCAAATGCCTTACTGAAGTCCAAGTACCACTACTCACTTCATACATTTTCCCACTGTTTCAGTTTCCATATTTAGAATTACTGTGCTGGTTCACATGTGTTAGGATTAGGCACACTAAACCATTTTATTTATTGCAAAATTATCAGTTCTTTATCTATGATCTTTTGTTGGCTTGCATGGAAGAGAAACTAGGTAATATTTGGCCAGCCATTTCTTGTTTGTTTTCGCTATGGATGAACATGCATTTTGAGTATGAATTGAATTAACTTCTATTTATTAGAAGGAAATAGTTATTCCAAAAATATCAAAACCTGAACTGCACAAATATATATACATGCTACACATCTGTTGGAATACCATGTGAATTACTGGGTTTCCCTGGCTGTGGAAATAAGGAATCTCAAGCAGCATGTGTTATCTTTGATTGATCTGGAGATAAACAGAATCAGCTTGAATAAGGAGAAGTTTCCTGTGTCACATTTAGCAAAACATCAACAATTCAGATTGTTTAGTTTTGTTAATTTAATTTAAATGATGCTATTTCACCCTGGATTGTGGACGGAGGAGCTAACAAGCATCACATGTAAGGAAAACTAATTAGCAAACCTTTGTAGATCATATCAATGTGCATTGATAAGTAAACAAAACAAAACAACTAGCATGTACAAATGTTGGAAGTGGGATACAGCTTTAACCGCAGTTCTAAGGAAGTGGAATCTTCTAAAACAGGGGTGTCAAACTGGTGGTCTGTGAGCCAGATGAGTTACATGCAGGCCACGCCTACCCCAACTCCTCAAAGGCAAAAGACATCACGATACATCACGTGATGCGATCGAGTTTGAACATCGAGTGTTCTAAAGGACTAAATATTTCACCGCTGGCTTCTTCATTTGTCTTACAAATGCAATGATCTCCCAAATGGCAGCAAGAAGAGAAGACTGGGGAGTGGCAATAGTAACAAGTTTTTTCTCAATCTTCCAAGTTTTCCAGTTACTGGAGCTGGGTGTTTCTGAATTACAACAATACATTCTTTGTTCTCTGCATTGGTCAGAGACATGACAAAGAAGTCAAAACTAATCTTCTTTAGGGAATTAGCTCTCTTAAGTCAGTGTTCCCCACCCTATGTGTCCTCTAGGATTTCAACTTACAAAATCATAGCCAATCTAGAGATTGTCCAGGCTGAGGAAACTTAAGCAAATTGATGAAGGAGAGTTGCACTGTAAAGAATATATATGTCACTGAGTAGAGAAGCACTTTCTTCAGCTACCCAGAAGGAAGGGGAAAAAAACCCACACTTATCCAGCACATGCTGCAGCTATTTTTGGTTTGGAAACCAAACCCTATTCTCTTTAACACCAGAATTAACACCAGACAAACAATCAAGCAGTAACCTAAACTCTAATCAAGGAACTATGAACTCAAACAAAGAATGAAGCAGTAAACAACAGCTTAATCAAGGAATTACCAACGAGAAAACAACACACTCACCAGTGCTGACAGGGCAAACTGCTGTATATAAACAGAGAGCAAGCCCACTGCCTTTTAACACTGAAGATATTAGCTAATTGGGTAAATAAATGTCTGCAAGAGAACAACCCAACTCAGAGAGCATCAAGAACACCATCTATTTTCTTTCCTTCCCAAATCTGAAAACTCCCACCTTCTAAAAAAAACAAAACAAAACAAAACAAAACAAAACCCAAACAATTCTGCACTGCTAAGGAAGGACAACAACCTAAAGTTCTTCACACAAGTCCAAGTATCTGTGTTCTGCATGCAGACAGTTAGCAGGTTGTATCATTGTGGTTTTCCTGTTCCATTTCTGTGCTTTGCAATTTTGTGCTTTGCAATTTTGAGGAGATACTATTTTAAACCCATCTGCTTTGCATTTCCATGAATTCTGCCTTACCATCAAATTCCTCTTTGCTGGAATGCATAGGGCTGTTTAGTGACTTGCGTTACAGTTTAATCAATTCTCGCTTCTTTTCTACTCATGAAGTGAAGAAAATGGTCATAATTATGATGTTTACTGGGACAAAGTGTTCTGCCTCAGCTAAAACATTCTTCTTGGGCATATTTCTTGATAAATAGCCATGTTAATATGTGTTACATAAAAATAAGTGAGACTTTTCTGCATTTTAGAGATTGGCTAGGCTAACAGCATACCAGAGAAAATGGAAAACAACCCTAACACATTTCCTAGCACATTTCAAGAACATATTCTTATCAATAGATTTTATTTTCTAGCCTTAAAAGATGGCCACCCTTTACACTGGAGGTGAAATAGGGCAAAACAACATGGCATGTGTTCAGGGTATGTTTTCTCATTTTTGGTCTTATAGCAATAGCATTTAGTCTTATATATGCTTCACCGTACTTTGCAGCACTCTGTCACAGCTTTACAGAGTCAGCATATTGCTCCCAAACAATTGGGGTCCTCATTTTACTGACCTTGGAAGGATGGAAGGCTAAGGCAACCTTGAGCTGGTCAGGATCGAACTCCTGGCAGTGGGCAGAATTAGCCTGCAGTACTGCATTTTAACCAGCATACCACCACAGGTCTTATGCAGCTGTTCTGTGGTTGCCTCTCTATAGAACTGGACATGATGTATTGGTGGCATATCAGAACTTCCCAATAGAGTCATAGAATCATATAATGTATTGGTTTGGGAGGAATGCTGGATATCGTCTTTTTCAGTCCAATGAAAGCCAGTATTCCAATTCAATGCAACTCAGACTCTGTCTGAACTGTTCCAGCAAAGAAGACTGTACTACCTACTGAGGTACTGTGTTCCATTGAATTGCTCTTACTATTAGGAAAGTTTTCCTATTCAACCACAATATACTTTCTTTAATTAAATTCTTGTTTTTGTGTTCTGAAACAATTCTAAACAATTCTGCTCCCCCTCCCAGCTCTGCAGGTTACCAGAGATCAAGACCCACTGTTTCATTACTAGACAGGAGGCCCTGCATTAGTGGTTTGTCTTGGGGAATAAACTGTGTACGTGTTGTTGTATTGCCTTACCTGTGGCATAGCTTTATCCCTGCTTGAGCTGCTTGACCTCATTGCCAGGTGGGTGATTGATTGATTCATCCAGGCATTTTCTCCTGGACAATTTCAATTTTCTTTTCTTGAAGAGTGGTTCAGAGGCAGCTCAGGAATTCGTAACTGGTAAAACAACATGGTCTGGTTCTAGTTCTACATAATCTAATTTCCATCTATTTCCACAAGATGGTTAGGAGTTTTCCTGGGGCCTTTATAGACAGTTCAACCCTTGGAACACAAAGATAATTGTAGACTTTTGACTGGATTGTGTCTAACTGGCAACTCTCTTTAGTACATGCTAATCCAGAAGAACGTCTTAGTATACTAATGAATGCTGGAAGGTAAAATAGCAGAAGAGATACTAGTATTAGTAAACAATAACAACAAATAGGAATAAACATAAGTACAAGATGAGATGTTAAGACTACCTTTGCAAGTTCCTCTTGATCATGGTTTACATCCAGAGAATAACTGTACTACGGCGATGAAATATGTGTTCAGAAACCTGTCAAACTATTGAGAAATTTGTATTTCAATGTTCCCTTACTTAATGATAAAGAATTTATATAACAAATGTAGGTATAAACTTTATGATATTTTAATTTGAACCCAGAAATATCAAGGGCTCACATTTTTTAATGGGAAACATATTAAACCTATTAAAAATTAAAGGGAAAATAATGTGAAAGATGAACTGAAACATTTATCGGTATAGATGGTTAGATGCCCATCTACTACTCTGTACAGTACATAAACAAATTGAATTAAATACTATAATATCACAGCAGACATAATTAATGCTAATTTGTTTATGACAGAGATACTGGGACAACAGTGAAAGTCTTGGGAAGATGTTGGCTAATTGCTTGAAGCAAAGAAAGGCCATGATTCCAACTATCAGAGATGAAAGAGTTGAAATATATAAAACTTCAATAGACATAAAAAGACAATTTTTAAAATTCTACTCAGAATTATATAGCAAATCAGAAAATGTATTGTACGAACATATAAATCCTCCCTAAATATAAGTAAGTAACCTACTATATTTAGATAACACACAAAAACAACTTTTACTTGCTCCACTGTGTGAGATAAAGATTAAACAAATAATTTTAAAAATGACAAATGGTTAAATTTCAGGACTGTATGAATTCCCTATAGAGCGATATAAAACATTCATAACCTTTTTGGTGCCAAAGCTTTGCCAACTGTATGATGAGATATTGGGTAAGGGAACTTTATTTGTAGCATTCAATCAAGGTTATATCAAAAGCTAGTAACACTCTGTGTGCTAATTATCATCCAATCTCATTGTCTAATGTTGATATAAAGAGCTTAACAGCAGTGCTAGGAAATTGGTTACAGCAAGTGATGTCATTCATTATTAATGATCAAGCAGGTTTCCCATTTGGGGAGAAGACCAGTGTTGTGTCCTGAGCCTGCTTTTGCAGGCTCAGGATGTTGCATTGGTCCTGGGCATTCCAAAAGCTGCCCAGGACCAGCGGCACCAGCCTTGTGCACATGCACAAGGCGCGAAAACGCTAAGTTCCTATTGGTTGACACTGTCCGGGTTTCTGGCCATATAAAAAGGCCTGCGTGCCTTTGTGTTTTGCTTGGTTCTTGGAGAAGGAGAATAAAGAGTTGTTAACAGTCACCATGTGTCTTCTTCATTCGCACACGAACAAAGGATTTAATAACCAAAGCAAGGTATGATTTGCAGAGTTCTGCTTTTTACTGTTTCATCATTCCCCCCCCCCCCGGCCCTTTCTCTTCTTTCCTTTTACTCCTGACATAGCCAACCCTTTTTACTTTCCTTGCAAGCTTAAGTTCCTGTTTTAGCCTTTATGTTTGTCTTTCTGCATATATTCCTACACTTGGATGATTATACTCAGCTTCCACTCCCAATAAATGTCTCTTTCTATTCTTAGCTTTCTATAAATCCACAGTGATTTTCTTAGTTGTCCTCCATATTTTTTCTCATTGGATTTTGCATCTAGTATTTTTTTTCTGAGAAATTCTGAATTTCTTTGACCAGAGGATTTCTGTCCATAATGTCGACATCTTTCTAACAGTTCTGTTATTTCTAAACTAGTTGAAATTGGTTGTCCACAAATCAGTGCATGTACAACTATGTCCCGGTTTAATTTTCTGTAGCATCTTAAACCTCAAGACAATCCAATAATTTCCTTCCAAAGTTCGCACTATTTTTATATTTCTTCAACCACAACTCCTATTGGTGAGGATTAGATTTATTTATTTATAGAATTTGTACTTTGAATTTTCAAGACTCACAGAGATTGACATCAAGATACAGAAATACAATATAATGAAGCAACACCATATCATATAACCAAAACCCCAAATAGCTAATAATAAATACATAACTTTGAGTAAAGTTGGTGAACAATCATGAGCTTGGTTTTAAAACATCTGAAAGGCCATCAAAAAAGTTGTTCACTTCAAGAAGATCAAATGATAAAAAAGATATATCAATATTTATTAGAACAAGATTTGTTAGACGAACAGGTAAAAGAAACAATGTTAATTTGGAGTAAAAATTTTGGTTATAGTATTGACCTAGATAATTGGCAATCATTATGGGACAGAAACAGGAGGTTAACACTAGCCACCTCCTACAAAGAAAATTTATACAAGATTTTTTTTAGATGGCACCTTCTCCCTACAGGGCTAGCAAAAATAGATAAAAAAACCGACATGCTGGAAGTGTAGAAGGCTTCCAGGGACTTACTATCACATGAGGTGGGAATGTTCAAAGGCGCAAAATTTTTGGAATCAGATAAAAATTGGCTAGAAGACATATTATTACAAAAAATTGATTTAAAACCAGAAATCTTCTTATTAGGGATTATTAATGATAAACTCAGCAAAGCATCTTCTAACTTACTATTGCATATTTTAACCGCAGCAAGATTGGCATACGCCCAAAAATGGAAAGGAAAGGAAACCCCCACTGAGGAAGAAATAATAAATAAAATTTTATCCTGCACCGAAATGGACAGGTTAACTCTAGAGATTAAAAATAAAACTGAAACAGAGTATTATGAAATTTGGAAAAATTTATATGATTGGTTAGCGATAAGGAGGATCGCTGAGATGATTATCGATTGACTATTTGATATCATAAGGACTTCTTATTAGTACCTATATTAGGACACAACTGAATGATATGTAAATATAACGTTGATGATTGAAAGATGGTTTATCAAAAATTTACAGATGTTATACGCACAGTTTGTTATACTCTGTCCTGTTATAGAATGTATTTTAAGTTTCTGTTTTTCTTTCTGTAACATAAGGTAATACTAATAGCACTGTTGAAGTCAGGGAAGTTGAATCATGTCCATTTTTGTTTTTAAAATGTACATTTAATAAAATTTGTATATAAAAAAAAGTTGTTCACTTCAAAAAAAATGAGCTTCATTCATAAAGACTTTTCAGATGAGTTGAACTTGAAAACTTAAGAGAGAGTCAATCCCCTTCCCATTTCTTCAGTCTTCGGGGAAATGAAACAATCAGCAAGAGGTGTACTAGACTATACAGCTGACAATACTATACAATAACTACCATTGTACTTTACTGATTTGGAAGAATGCAGAAACAGTGTAACAGAAGAATGACAGGACCAGTCCCTCCCATGCTTCACATACAGAGGATGGGGGACTTAACTGGCATTTATTAGAAATATAAAGAAAGAAAAGGGAGGAAAGAGAAAGTCTAAAGAAAAATCCTACTTGTGATTCAGTTTCCTTCATGAGTCCAATTTCTTTGTTTTTAAACCTTTATTCAGCTTGGGCTCCAACAGAACTGAATGCAAGAAGAGGAAAGATCATAGCCATGACTGACAGGGCCCTGCAGCCAGATCCACTCAGTTCGTTTGCTGCACCGTTTGCTGCACAATTCTTTTCCTGTCAGTGAATGACGTGGTGAAGAGGAAGGCAGCAATTGTTTTGTCTCTTACATGGTGTACCAGCATAATCAGGGCAGCACCATTTGGCCGGCAGGCAGAACACACCCAGTGACAATCAACAAAGGGTGCAGCAGATTCATAGCTTTCTGTCAAGTCAAGGATGGGTTCTAGCACTTCAACTCAGCAGGGGTGAAAGACCCCAGATATATTTCTTGCTAAACTGAAATCCACAATTACATGTTATAGGCATTTCTTTGGGAGATTTAGAACCTGAAACTGATTTTTGTAAATCCTCGATTTACAACAGTTCATTTAGTGACTGTTCAAAGTTATAACGTCACTGAAAAAAGCGACGTTTAAGACTGTTTTTCACATTTATGACCCTTGCAGCCTCCCCATGGGCATGTGATCAAAATTTGGATGCTTGGCAACTGTTTCATATTTATGATAGTTGCAATGTCCCAGAATCATGTGATCATCTTTTGCAGACCTCTGATAAACAAAGTCAGTGAGGAAGCTAGATTCACTTAACAACCATGTTACTAACTTAACGACTGCAGTGATTCACTTAACAATTGTGGCAAGAAAGGTCATAAAATGAGGCAAAATTCATGTAACAACTGTCTCACTTAGCAACAGAAATTTTGGGCTCCATTGTGGTCGTAAGTTGAGGATTACCTGTATCTCTTTACATGGCTTCTTTTGTTGAGTGTACCATCAATCAAGGAATGCTTGGTGAGAATTCTGTGACCTGGTACTGTGTATTTAACATTTGTGGCAAACATTACTTGATAGCTTTGTTCTTCAATTGCAGCACCTTTTCCTGCACCAGGAAAGGGAAGTTGCTACCTGTAAATGCATTACAGTTCTGAAGTATGATACCGTTCAATACGAATAAATCCATCCAACATTTAATAATGTTGGATTACCAAATAATTCAGAGTGCAACCCATTTGCCTGATGTTAAACAAATACAAGGGCTCCTGTTCCCTTGAGAGCTACTCTGATTAGACATGTTGTTTATAATATGCTTGTTTGCTGATTGGGAGGTCAAGCATGTTTAGTATTCCCAGCGCTCTCTTTGCTGGGATCTCTGCTTTGTCTTGGACTCTCTCTCTCTCTCTCTCTCTCTCCCTCCCTCCCTCCCCGCTCCCCTCCCCTCACCTCCCTCTCCCTTTCCCTCTTTATATCCAGAAACCGTGTCTCTGTTTTTAAATTAAATGTTTATAGTTTCAGAAGTTGCATAGATAATTTTAACCATATGCTGTACCTCGACAAAGGGAAGCCTTTAATTATTTGAGTTTTTTAAAAAGTGACCTTTTCAAAAACCTCAATACTCTTTTTGACACTTTGGGATTTGGACATGACTGCTTACTTGAAACATCTGGATACAGACAAACAGCCCTAGTGAAATAAACAGTGCAGTGAGTATCCTTCATGCATCATTGGAAATGATACAAAATAGCTGATGATATCAAGCATCTTGGCATTTGACACATGCATGGTTGGCTTGACCAAGCATAGAAAAGACAGTAGCAGGACAAACCTTGTTTCGTTCCTTTCACACCTGACCTTATAGGAAGAAGAGAAAAATTAGTTTTTAAAGGACCTGTCTACATATCATCCAGTTAATCAGTTAATCATGCAAATAAGTCCTTGCCTTAAAGGTAAGGAGGAAAGGAAATATAATATTTTTGTAGAGTATTTGAACATTGTGCATACTCTTGAGATTCTGAGTGATTTGAATATTCTCTGGGTAATTTAACCAATGATAGGCATTAGATCCATTATTCTTCAATTTCTTTCTTTATAATTTTAGACCTTTAATAGAGTACTTAGTTTTACATCAACTTCAGTGGTGGGATTCAGCCAATTTGCATCGGATCGGCAGAACCAGTAGCTAAATTTTGCTGCATTCAGAGAATCTGCTGGCTTCCAGAAGTTCAGTCTAGGCCTGGGAGGCCTGCAGGAGGCCTCCCAGGCCTAGAAAGGCTCACTGGAAGAACATGGATGCCACTTCCGGAAGTCCGTTCTAGGCCTTCCACCACTGATCGGCTTCATTCTCCTTATTTCTTTTTTTTAAATATTTTTATTGAAACTTTACTAACAATACTAAAAGAAAAAAAAACCTAAACTCAGAAAGAAAGGTTAAGAAAAAAAGAGAATACAAGTAATCCTAGACTTATAACCATAACTGGGACAGGAATGTCAGTCATAAGTTACTTGCAAATTGAGTCAGACCTGATTTTATGACAATTTTTACAACAGTCATTAAGCAAATCATGTGGTTACTAAGTGAATATAGCTTCCCCAATGGGCATTTTTTGGTGTTTTCTGCCAAAAATCGGAAGAAAAAAAAGATTGCAAACTGCAATCACGTGACCACGATGTTGGTGAGATGGTTATAAGTGTGAGTACTGGTCATAAATCATTTTTTTGAAGGCTATCAAAACTTTGAACCATTGTTAAGTAAATGGGCATGTGCTGAAGAATACCAGTAAAAGGAGAGTATTCTGACCACGATAAGGAGTTAATGTTAGTGTCTCTTATCTTTAGATTATATCTCACCTGCTCAAGATAAAAAGATTGACCTTCTATGTGGGTTCAGTTGGACACAAGAAGACTTGGCAACCTATGCACTAAGAGGAGGAAATGTGGCTGGAAGATGGAATTGACTTCAAATTTCTGATCATCCTTCCCTGAGAACAGCCTACCTCTTGACTCCCACCATACCTCTATCTGCCCATCACAATCACAATTTTTTTTTCCTTTTGATGCCACCAACCCCAATCCCTCATAGGCAAACAATGAGGAAGGACATTCAACTACCAAACTCTGCCTCTCACCCAGAGAATTGCTCTACCAGCTACTTAAACTGAAGAAAGCTATAAACCAATTGCTGAATCACAAAGTATGGTAGCATCGGTCATTTTCAGACACTGTAGCCATTTCTACATATGATATTCCAAATCAAACAATCACCAATTTTGCAGAGAAATAAACCTGGGGATTAGGAAATTGGAATAAAATAAGTTTAGGAGTAGGAAAAAGTTAAGACTTTATTTTTAAGAATAATTTTTTTTTCTGCTCGCCTTCCTGCTTGTGTCTGTACTATCCAGAAACAAATCTGTGACAATAAATTATAACATGGTAACAATAGCCATGGAGATGTAGAATTCTAGAGGCCCTTTAAAGATTTGTCACTAGGGACACAGGGAAAGCATCTACAAATCACAACAGAAGCAGCAAACAAAAAATATCCAACGCATAAATGTCCAAGGCAAGAATGGCAGTCAGGAACAAGTGAGTCAAGACCACAGCACAGTAAGGATGGACAAGATAAGATGAGGTTTTTTTTTTTTTTAATGATGCAAGGGCAGGATGGAGGCAGAGAAATTGTTTGGTAAAACATAATGGAAAACATAGTGGTTTTTATCAGTGTTGGTTATCAAATTAAAAAAAAGTATTTATTGATCACATTTTCTTTAGCTGAAAATTTTTTGATCAGATGGTTCCACAAATTTACAGTTTCCTTTTCTGATTAGTTGTCCTGGTAGTTCAGTAAATCAGGAAGAATCTCTGAGATACCCCATGTACTAATTCTAACTACTTGGCTACAAAGACTGTCATGTAAGAATTGCCCACTGTAGTTTTAGCATCCTCTGTGAAAATGCCTGGTTTGTGAACTGACTGCGTTTGGTGACAGATTGCCTTTAGAAGATTTATATTTATTTGTGGATCCTGTTTTAGAGGGGGTTGTGTTTACTGTGTATCTATTTGAGAAATGTGGTGGGTCTCCAAGCACCCTTTCCTGTTAATCTCTATAATTGTTTATTTTATGGCGTAGACTACTTTGCATTGTCAGGATATCATCCCTGACAATGTTTTCTTTGGCAGCTTTTCTGGGTATCAGACTTGGCCTCTCCAGATTTCCCATCATTAGCTGTTGAAGAACGCTAAGCAAACTTAGGCAATGTTTGCTAATGACTTGCGGCAAGTCGGGGAAGGTTACTTTAGGAAACTTCCAAGATGCTTATGTTTGGCAGGAGACATTTGTGGAGCCATGAGAATTTGACCATCTTGTTCCAGAAATAGGTATTTGAATTTAGGAGTAGTCAGGCTTCAGGCTTATTGGATTTACTTGGGTGTTTACTGAGAGAACCATGGTGGTGCAATGGTTAGAATGCAGTATTGTAGGCTAACTCACTGCTCACTGCCAGGAGTTCGATTCTGACTGGCTCAAGGTTGACTCAGCCTTCCAGATTGGTAAAATGAGGACCCAGATTGTTCTAGACAATATGCTGACTCTATAAACTGCTTAGAGATGACTGTATAGCATTGTAAAGTGGTATATGAGTCTAAGTGCTATTGCTATCGAATCCCAGAGAGCCATCCACCAGAACCTCAAGCAGATATTGACATATATCATAATAAAGCATATAGTTTTTTTCCTTCCATCTCTTTTTTCTCACCCCAAACCACTTTTTCAGAGTATAATAAATGAAAAAAAAAAAAGAACATTTCTCTGGAGTTTGTAACAACAACAACAACAACAACTAACAGCAGCATGTTGCTTTTTTAAAAAGATTGGTAAGGTAAAACCCTAAAACACAGTGTAAGAATACAGATTAAAAGCCATTTATGGTCTGCCAGTTTCATTATTCTTTCATCCAAATTTGAATGGAATCAGGAAATGCTGCATTAAGATTTAGGAGAAGGGAAAAGGCTTTTTCCAAGTGCCTCCTGCTTTGCCATTTGACCTGTGCTTGTATTAAACTCTGATCTATTACTGGATTAACTGCATAGTAATACAAAGTGGAATGCTATTCATATTGTTCCAAATGTCTGAACTAAGTTGAGTAAGTAATCTAATCTGTGACCGTTCTTCATTTTTTTCCACAACTTCAACCTGTTGGTTGGGTCTAATCCAGCAACTGAAACATGACTTGCTTTACTTCCAGGCAAGTGAATGATGCCTAATTTTTCAGGCACTTTGAGAAAATGCTGAAATCCAGGAACAGAATGGAATTC